GAGCCATGTGGCTAACATAGGTAAGAACAATGGGTTAATATAAGCTACAAGAGCTAATAAGTAGCCTGAGCTAATGGGCAAATCAGTTTTCTAACTTATGGAGCTCTCTGTGTGATTTTCTTTGGGGCTTGCCGGCTGTGGGGAACTGGGCAGGACATAAACCCCAACAAGCAGGCCCCTTCATGTTACAACGTTCTACAACTGAATAAGCTTAATGTTCAGTAAATGGTCTTACCCTATGGCACTAGCAAGATCTTCCCAATCTATTTCATTAGCATCATTCACATTTAGTTCATATAACCTGTAAGAAAGAATAAAAACTTCAAGTCAAATCCACCTCCCCAGACTCACAGACTACCAAGAACTGAAAGGCCAAGGGCTTCCATCTTATTCTAGTCCCCCCAAGTACACTGTCTAGCCTAGTCTGAGGTTAGTCCAAGGTCGGAGAACAAGCTCTGGAAATGAGCTGAGAAGCATCTCCCCATTCCACACAGCCTCTCAGGAACAGTACCCTGTACTCCAATCCACTGCTCAAGACACCGTTAGCACCGTATGCATACCACTCATGCAGTCACTCTCCGCACCACAGGCTGGGCAGCACCAGCCCCATTCTGCAGACAAGTACATGGAGCTTAGGGACTCGGCCACCAACTCAATTTGTCATGACTACCAAGCAGTGAGACCCTGAACCCCAGTCCTGTCTGACCTGAGATGTCTTCTCAGATCGGCTAACCTGTCTCTCATGCAGAATGAAGGGTGGGGCACAGCAACCCAGGGTAGCACAGGAAGCATGGCAGAGTGATGGGACTAAGAAGCTGGACAGAATGGCCACAACCACGGGCCTCTGCTGTTCTTGCTGACACTCCAACATAAGCCTGTCCTGCCAGACTCACAGGTGTCAGAGATGCTCATGCCTCCACTTTCCTTGGGGCTACTGTGGTAAGGACTTTGCATAGAAAGGGAACTCAGGACAAAACCGAGCAACAGCGTCACTGCGGCGTAGCAGGGCTAACTTTGCCATCACCAATTCCTAATGAACAGGAATAGCACACCCATAGGGACAGCTCTGCAGACTGAACTAACGACTTTAACTGAGTACACAGTATGGCCACCATGCATTGTCTCCAAGAACACTAGGAAACAGGTAACTTCTCTTCATCAGCCCTATTCAGAACTGGTCAGAACAGAGATTCAGAAAGGCAGGCCACACACCAGCTGTGACATATGTGGAAGGTGGGTCTAAGCAACAGCATCCTAGCTCTGGATTAACAGTGGTTTACACAGCACCCAAACCTATTTCAGTACCTTTCAATAAGGGTGATTTTGGCCTGCAGAGCATTGATCCCACGATACACGAACCCACCTTGGGTCATCCTTTTGGTGAGAATCTCTGTCCTGTTAAAAAAAAAAAAAGAAACGTAGCATACTTTTAGTTTAAAAAGCACAAATTTCCTTTATTTTTAGTGTAGAGTAAAAAGCCTTGTGCACTGGAGAAGCCAGGAGAGTTAAACACACAGCTCGCCCCTCAGTGGAATGAGGTGCGTGGCTGCTCTTCCTGGAATGCCATTTTACAACCTAGGGATTCTCTGCTGTCTGAAGAGACAGGCTCTGCCTGTATCTCCCAGAATTTTTTTTACTCATCCAAGCAAGACCTTTCCCCCAAATCACTCTTATGAGCGATGTCACCTGTGCTTTACAGCAGCCTAAGTGACTAAGTGACTTCTGTGTTATCTTAGGGCCAGGCCAATCTGGACACCCACAGACACTATGTTTATCTGAGTCAAGCAGCCTCAACCCTAAATCTTGGGCACTTTCTCTGAGTTAACAGTTACCATTCTTGTGAAAGAAACCAGATGTACTCTGTAAGGAATCTCAATGTAAACATGTCTCAAATTGTTGTGCACTTGGAACTGAGTTAATTGTTATCTGAATACCTTTTTCCAAAAATTGTGCTGTGGTCAAATATGGCTCAAGTAAAATGATCTGGGCCAGACAGACTCTTGAAGTCCTGGGCCAGTGCCAGTTACAATAAAATCGGACTGAGTCGAGTTTTGTTCTTGTCTCTCTGTGGGTCATTTCTTCCCTGCCTGCTGTACAGCCTGCAAGGAGTCAGCACATCTTCTGCATACGAACTGCTCGCACTCAATGGGCAGGAGTAAATAAACAGACAGAACAGTCATGACTGTTTAATGGGGCTAATGGGGAGGAGAGGTCTAGCTTGTGGTATGAAATCTGGGTAAGGAAATGTTTTTTCAAATTGATAAATGACAATTTTTGGTTTTACACATAAAGGCTGATGAAAAACCATCACTAGTTCTATAAAAGTGGACACTTCCATTGAGACACACAGCATACTTATGAGTATTATTTTCTCAATGCAGCAGCATGCTGGCTTCAATGCAGCACAATGGAGTGCACGTGAAGTGTAAGTTCCACCCAGCAGAGCTGGACTACAAGCTCTCATCACCTTCATGGTTTCTCTTCAGTTCCTTTGCCGATTCACTGGCTGTACTTTATGATATCATATTAGTGGAAATGAGACTTTTTAGACCCAATTAATCATGGATTAATCAGAACATTCCAAACTGTTTTCGCAGCAGGGGACTGAGAAGACGGCATCTGTGCTGTAGAGAGCACACTGTAAACAGACAGGGCTGTGGGGCTGTGGGCTTGGTGTGGGTAGACTATGTCTGTTAGTAACAGAGCCAACATTACCCCTCGACTGTTATTCTTTCCGTAGAGTAGATGACTCTCTTCATAAAGACTCAAGCCTATAATTTGGAACCTTTAAGCTGTATCCATCAGGTGGCAGGTAATCCAGGACCCGAGTATGGCTTGATTAATGGCAAAGGGGTCTGATTTCTTTGCTTTAGGAAATTTTGAGTACACGGAGGCGAGAGGTTAACACCAGCTGTGTCCTCTATTGCTTTTCACCTACTTGTTTGACACAGGGTTGCTACTGAACCTGGAACTCAATGACCAGAGCAAAGGCCACCAATGAGCTCCAGGGATGTCTGTCTCTCCAGCCTCATCCCACCCCTGTGCTGGGGTTATAGACACCTGATTTTACATGGGTGCTGGAGACCTGAACTCAGGTTCTAATGCTTACCCACTGGGCCATCTCATTTCCTCAGTCCCATAAAGTAATAAATCTATTTACAGGTGCTGAGGTATTTTATATATATTTGTTTTGTTTGAGATAGGGTTTCTTTATGTAACCCTGGTTGTCTGTCCTGGACAGACACTCTGTAGACAAGGCTAGCCTCAAAATCACAGAGATCCACTTGCATCTACCTCCAGAAAGCTGGGATTAAAGGCTTGAGTCACCACCACTCAGCTGCAAATGATCTTTGGGGTTGTTTATAAATAGGAGGCTATAGGGGTTGGAGAGATGGCTCAGTGGATAAGAGCACTGGCTGCTCTTCCAGAGGACCTGGGTTTAATTCCCAGCAAACACATGGTGGCTCACAACTCACCCTAACTTTAGTTTTAGGATATCTAACACCTTCTTCTGACCTCAGAGGGTACCAAGTATGCATGTGGTACACATACGCAGGCAAAACAACCAAACATATAAAATATGTATAAATATACAAAGAAATAACCAACAGGTGGCTTTCTTGTTCCTATCACTAGCCTCTGAACAGCCAGTGTCAAACTTAGAACTGATGTGCTGACTCCTGGTGCCTGCAGCTAGTGGCTGGAGAAAGGGGCTGACTGTGCACCAAGGAGAGCACCAGCAGTTAGGGTACAAACAGGATTGCTCACAAAGGGCACAATCCACCACAATCACTTCTTCCGTGTACAAGCTTTCCCTCACTTCTTTTTCTTCTGGTTTTTGAAACAGTGTCTTGCTCTATAGCCCAGGTTGGCTTTGAACTTTTAAACCTCCTTCCTTTAGACTCCGGAATGCTGGGATGACAGGCTTGTATTGCCATGCATAACACAGACATAGCTAATCTACACTGTTCTTCCCAACCACTAGCTGTAGATTAAACACACTGCTTGATTTCATTTCAAGTTACGACCTGCCCAGGGGTTGAGGGTCCTATTTCTCTGTTCACATTAAACACACCTTGCACATCTTCTGTTGGCTCAGAAGCAGCACAGCCCTCAGTCCTTCCCCCTTCCAGCACTGAAACATCACCCTCCAGCCGAGGCTCAGAAACTACTCTCCTGTTGCACCCTAAAATTGAAGAGTAGAAACGGTCCCACTTCCTCTACACACTCCCAACATTATCTGTTCTTTTGGGGTTTCTTTCCCTGAGCACTGATATTTGTTAAATTCAGACTAGGCTGGGAACTTAGCTCAATGGTGGAGTGATTACATAGCAAGCATTTGGTCCTGGGTCTGAATCCCAGAACAAAACCAAAGCAAAGTACCCAAATATCCCAAACAGAGCTGAAAGGTGTTAAAAGGGCAGTATAATTCAGGAGGCAACTCCCCCCCCCCCCAAGACAGGTTTCTCTGTAGCTTTGGACCCTGTTTTGGAACTAGTTCTTTTTTTTATTTTTTAACAAAATGTTTATTTATTTATTTATTTGTGACAGTGTTCGACCTCCATGTATTCCTGCAGGCCAAAAGAGGGCACCAGCTCTCATTACAGATGGTTGTGAGCCACCATGTGGTTGCTGGGAATTGAGCTCAGGACCTTAGAAGAGCAGGCAGTGCTCTTAACTGCTGAGCCATCTCTCCAGCCCTGGAACTAGTTCTTATAGTCCAGGCTGCCCTTGAACTCACAGAGATCCGCCTGCTTCTGCCTCCAGAGTGCTGGGATAAAAGGCGCATGAGCCACCACAGCCCAGCACAGAAGTCTGCTTTTAATGTAAAGTACTCCTCTGGATTTTACTCATTTGGAAGGCGAGGGTCACCAAATGCCTTGGACATAGTGGAGGTTCAGTCCATAAGGAATCCCTGCTGCAGTGAGGATGTAGCTGGACATGCAGGCTCGACCCTCCAGAGTTCGGGAAAGTGAGAGGACATGTAGCCGGAAGGAAACAGTCTATGGTAGTCAGGAACTAAATCAGAGCATGACTATGATGAAGGCGCTGCAGAGCAGCCCCCAGCAGCCACTGACCTAACCTCAAACCAAGCAAGGCCAAGCAACTCTGCCACTAGGCTCTGATCTCCCTGGACATGCATTTCTATCAATTGCTTCAGTGTTGCAGACATGTAACTTCTGGGGTTATTCAGCATAACATGGGGGTATAAAGAGTACTTCCTTAAAGTTGTTTTAATTAAAAAAAAAAAATTGTTCTTCCTGCCTTACTAAAGACATGAAAGATAGTCAAGAGTTACATCCATCTCACTCTACTGCTCAGGCTAGCCCCAAATGTGAGATCCTCCTGCCTCAGCTTCCTGGATTCACAGATACTAAGTCTGTCTTTAAGTTCTGTATGAGGAAGAAATAAACCCCTGCACAGAAGCCGCTCCCCACGTGCACACTGTCAGCCAAGGTTAGGTACTGACTGAAGCAGGGGCAGCAGGGGCTGCAGCATTCTCGACACTGTGTTGTGCACAGCTATACACAGGCTCACCCAGGCCAGACAAACAAGAGAAACCCATCACAGCAGGCACAGGAAGTCTTACACTTACCACTTACTTTTGCACTGCATCCAGTTTCTGGTCTCCACTCTGGCTTCCACTTCCACCCATGAAATGCCCTTGTACAGTTTTTCCCGGACAATGGACAGGCGACCGTCAGGGTCTTCCTGGAGTCTAGAATTCAGTTCTCTTAACTCCTGGGGAGACATTTTCCTTAGGATCACATCCTCCACAGCCTTGATTAGTCTCTGGGTTTCGGTCTTACTCCAAGCACCGTGGTTTATATCTGTAGGCATAAAAGAATGACCTTGTAGTTGTTTATCTATTTGCTTTCTAAGCACATTTTAAAGGAGATGATGCCAGGTGATGGTGGTGCGCACCTTTAATCCCAGCACTCAGGAAAGAGAAGCAGGTGGATCTCTGAGTTTGAGGCCAGTCTGGCCTACAGAGTGAGTTCTAGGACAGCTAGAGCTATTACAGAGACAAACCTGTCTCAAAAAACCACATACACATACACACACACACACACACACACACACACACACACACACACACACACGCCACTAAATAAATAAAAAAGAATAGGAGAAGATAAATCAGGCCCTTTCCAGAAAACAGTAGGCAACAGCTCAATCAAACCAACCTAAAATAATTGACAATAGTTATTCTTGTTTTTTGGTTTTTGAGACAGGGTCTCTCCATGTAGCCCTGGCTGTCCTCAACCCACTATGTGGACCAGACTGGTCTCAAACTCAAAGATCAGCCTGCCTCTGTCTCTTGAGTACTGGGATTAAAGTGGTGCACAACTCTGCCTAGTTTAAGTCTAACTAGGGGCAAAGAGACTGCACACAGCCCTGGCTGTCCTCAAATCATTATGTGGACCAGACTAGCCTCAAACTCAAAGATCAGCTTGCCTTTGTCTCTCAAGTACTGGGATTAAAGTAGTGCACCACTCTGCCTAGTTTAAGTCTAACTATGGGGCAAAGGGACTGCACACCTCCCTTTCTGAGGCTCCCTCCTGGCCAGCTTCTGGAGGACCAGCATAAGAAAAAGGATTCATGCTACAAGATATGGAACTGAGGCATGGTCAGTAGGCTCAGTAAATAAAGCTAGTTTCACTGACAGCACACAAAGAAGCCAAATGAAGTAACAGAGAGAGCAGGTACTAAGAGTGAGCACACAGAGACCTCTGCACACTGGCTCAGTCACTGGCTTATTTCACAGTGAGACAGGATACTTACGACCACCAATCTGAGAGTACTTCAGGGCAACAGAGAGGCTGCTTCGAGCTACCATTGCCCCAATCTTTTTCCAGTCGTTTCCATGGAGGGAATGGTATGCCTTTAGCTTCTTAGTATCTTCTTCATTGTACCTGAGAGAAGGAAAATGGATGTTTAAGGAAGTCCAAGACTAGAAAGGGTACCTCATGGCACTACTTTGAGAAAGCAGAAGGCAGCACTGACAGGAAGCCATGTCCCTCCTACCAATGGCTGGAGCCCCTCACTGCCTGTCTCAGCATTTCAGTGGTGGTCATGCCCTCAGTCACAGCTGGCCAGAGCCAGAGGCCAGAGCAAACCATCTGAGCCTGTTCTTACCCCACAGGCTCTGTGCTGGCTTGGACATGGCTCTCTCCACCCTCCGGATGGCCATCTGCATGGTACTCTGCAAGGAGCGCTGCACTGCTCTAGGCTTGCCTTTGGCATCTATGGATCCCTGGATCACACTGCTTCCTCTAGACCAGTGCTGACTGCTGTCAACAAAGCCCCATGTAAGCCACTCGGCCATGCTTCACGCCCCCACAAGGAGGACTTCACTTCACTTAGTATTAGCAAGATTACCATGAGAAGAAGCTTCCTCTGATCTAGGCACGTGACTCCGATTGAGCCGTCTCCGGCAAGCACGACACTTCTAAACCCACTCTCACCATATACAGCAGTAAGGGCTAACTCCATGTGGTTGGTAGTCATGCAGGGGTTGGCACAGCTGGGAGGCGAGGTCCACGAGGGGACCTTGTCAGATTGTTCTCTCTGGGCTTAACATAAATATATGTATGCCTGCATTAATTCTATTAAATATCTAAGTAGTACATTATGAATTTTATAAATTTTAAGATTAAACACCATAAACTTAAGCCAAGATATAGCAATTTCCATAACCTTAGATTCTAAATCTTTTTTTGTTTGTTTTGTTTTTCTGAGAGAGAGTTTCTCTGTATAACCAGCCTGGTTGTCCAGGAACTCCCATTGTAGACCAGGCTGATCTCAAACTCATAGAGATCCACTTGCCTCTGCCTCCAGAGTGCTGGGATTAAAAGCGTGTGCCACCATGCCTGGCAGATTTCTAAATCTTAACCCAGGGTGGGGGTGGGTTATGTCAATACCATGGCCAGAGAAAGGTCTGGAAGACAGTAACAACCTCTGACATAGAACTTCTCTAGCATAATAGTGTTCCAATGTCTGCAGAAAATGCACTCACAAACAGGGACTATAGAAAACACTCTATAAAATTTTATAAACATTCTATAGACACATTCCTCTTCACTATTAAGAATTGTGGGAGGTGGCTGGACAGATGGCTCAGTGGTAAAAGGATAGGCTCACAACCAAAAGGACAAGAACCGTGGGTAAAAGCTGGACAGGTGGCTCAGTGGTTAAGAGCACTTACTACTCTTTTGTTGTAGCCCTGGCTATCCTGGCTCTTGCTATGTAGACTAGGATGGCCTCGAACTCAGAGATCCTCCTGTTCCTGACTTTGCTTTCCAAGTGTTGGGATTAAAAGCATGCAGCATCACACCTGGCTACACTTCCTGCTCTTTGCAGAGATCCCAGCACACACATGGTGGCTCACACCAGTCTGAAACACCAGCTCTTGGCGGTCTGACACCTCCTCTGACATCTGCAGGCTCCTGCATGTGTGTGGTGTACACATACATACAAAATACATTTTTTTAGATTAAAAAAATTGTTGGTGAGAGAATAAGGATACAGTGGGCAATGGGAGTGGGAGGGGGGGTAAAAGGGCTGAGTCAGTAGGTATGGTGAATGAAGGCCTCAGTTCAGACTCCTCACTCCAAAAACCCCAACTGATGTGTCATAGCAGAGGGGAATTCTACCGTGAGAGAAGCTCCAGCCCTGGCGAAGACTGTGCAACAGAGAGCAGAGCAATCAGGAGCCACAGTGAGAGCAGGGATGCCCAGTGCTGCAGCCCAGGAACACAGAGTATGGAAGATTCCTGATGGCTTATTAAGGAAGTAGGAATGGAAATGATTTGTTTTCTTTTTTTATTTCTTTCTTTCTTTTTTTGTTTTTTTTTTTTTGAGATAGGGTTTCTCTGTGGAACAGTCCTGGCTGCCCTGAAACTCTCTCTGTAGACCAGACTGGCCTCGAACTCACAGAGATCTACCTGCCTCTGCCTCTCAAGTGCTAGGATTAAAGGTATGCACCACCACCATCCGGTGGAAATGAACCTTAAAGGCATATACCTAACCAATACCCAGCTAAATTTCAATGCAGAGATCTTTGTGATCTCCACTTCTCTCCATGGCTGTGGATACTTTGTTACTTGACATCAGGACAAAGCGGTGGGACTCTCTTACCTGCCTTTGTAATTATTCACATCAAAGATCTTCTTTGCACGATAGTACACAAGCTTCCAGGGCCGCGCAATGCCTTTCCCTACAGACAGTCAGGAGACAGAGTCAGAGAGGCAGCAGGTGGCCAATGTGAGGCATGGTCACAGACGCCAGAGTAACCCAGTAGAGCCTTCTGTAACAGATTAACTCATGTGCAGCAGTGTGCAGAGGCTGGCCCTTCACACGCCTGCACTGTTAGAGCAGATGAATGGACAGTCAACACTGCCTTGAGCGTGGTGCACACTGGGTTCGAGGACCCACCCACTCAAGACCCTCACTGGACTGCCATTTCAGCAAGACTGTAGGGGAGCACAGGAGAGGAACAGGCCTCTCCCCAGCAAAGCCTTCCCCATTTCCCATTCTCCAGGGGCCACCATCCCACTTCCCTGTGCAGTGCAGAAAACACCTGTGGAATTACCATCTTTACACTCAAAAATGATTCTTTCATGAACGACCTGATGCCACTTATGCATCTTTTTTTCTTTATTTTTTGTTGGGGGCTGAAGAGATGGCTCAGTGGTTAAGAGCACTGCCTGCTTTTCCAGAGGTCCTGAGTTCAATTCCCAGCGGCCACATGGTGGCTCACAACCATCTGTAATGAGATCTGGCGCCCTCTTCTGGAGTACGGGCATGCAGGGAGGCAGAATGTTGTATACATAATATATAAATCTTTAAAAAAAAAAGTATTTTTTGCTGGACATGGTGGTGCACGCCTTTGATCCCAGCACTTAGGAGGCACAGGCAGGTGGAACTCTGAGTTCAAGGCCAGCCTGGTCTACAGAGTGGAGTTCCAGGGCAGCCAGGGCTATACAGAGAAACCCTTTCTTGAAAAGAAGAAAAAAAAACATATATTTTAAATTAAAACAAGTATTTTAAATTAATGGGTTGAAAATTGCATACAATGTATTTTGATCATATTCACCCCAACTCCTTCTCCTAAGTCCTCCAAGATCTGCCTCCTCTTCTCTACCCTCCCCAACTTTGTGTCTTCTTCGTTTTTAACAACCCTGTGTCCAATCTGTGCCGTCCATAAACTTCTGGGGCAGTTCTCAGAGGGCTCACTGACCTAACTTTCTCAGCAGTACCCACCAGCAGGGGTCCAGCTCAAAGTGCTGCCCTTAGAAGACCATGGTGCATGGAAGGAATGATAAATAGGACAGGAAACTAAAGTAACATAAAGTAACATAATTACTGCCAAGTAGACAAAGATAGAATATCATTTTACTTTTCCACAAAATCCACAGGCGCACTACTCTTGAGATACGAACCCATGGGATTCAGAGTAAGTATTCCTCAGCACAGGGGGCTGAGGGAGGTGTAGGAAGGCTGAGGGCGCTTGAGTCCATTTCTCCACTTACCAATGTGCAGCCTGAATGCATGCTTTCGTTTTAAATTGGTGATCAGAGACTTCTCCTCTGGATATCTGTCTGTGTACAGTAGCTTGTCTGCACTCTCAATTCCAGTCAGGGACAGGAATTCTTGCACGTTTTTCTCTATTTGTTGATTTTCTTTAGCAGAAAATTTGCCAAATCTAATAGCAACACCTAGTGTTGGGGGGGGAGGAGAGAACGTATGTATTGTCAATAATGAATAAAAGCAAACTTACCACACTCATTTCTTTCCTGTGGTTTGGCATGTGCAGCTGTTGATCCTCAAATCCATCTTTTTTTTTTTTTTTAGTGATAGGCTCTCCTGTTGATCAAGTAGGCCAGGCTGGCCGACCAGCAAGCCCCAAAGACTTTTCTGTCTCTGCCTCTCCTGTGTTAGGGTTACAATCACACGCCACCATGGTCAGCTCTTCTACATGGATTCTGGGAAATGAACTCAGGTCCTCATGTTTGTGCAACAAGCACTTTATTGACCAAGCAACTCCTGAGGCCAAAAGGAAACCTACCAAACTCAGAATACCACGTCCAGCAGGACCAGCCTGCCAGGAGCAGCCCACTGGGATCTTTGGCACTGAGTGGCTTCCCATCCTCAATTCTAGTCTAAGCTATAGCTCCTCTCCCCAGGTCTTCTCAGACATCCTCTTCCACAGTGACTTACTTGTTTCCTCAATCTCTTTAAAATAGTTACTTTAAAAGCAACAGACGTTGATAAAAAATCCAGACAATATTGAAAAAGAATCTAAAAGAAGCCTTCCCCCACCCTATGTCACTGAACTCCCTGAAAGTGGTGTTCACAGGGGCTAACAAAAGCCTTCTGAACAAACACAAGCTTTTTCTATGTGCAAACCAGGGTCAGGATTGACAAAACATAATACAGTTCACAGAGAACTCCTGATCCTTGTTCAATCATTAAGGATCAATTGTGTGACTAGTGCATTGTTCTTTCTTTTTGCAGAGCTGAAGAATCAAACAGTTTACTTGTCTGGCTTTAGATGTTATTTGTGACAGGGTCTCATGTAGCTTAGTCAAGCCTCAAACTCCCTAGGTAGCTAGGAATGAGCTTGAACTTCTGATTCTCCTGCCTTCACCTCCTGAGAGTTGGGATTACAGACAAGCACCAGCATACTCAATTTATGTGGGTGCTGGGAATCAAACCTAGTGCTGGGTGCATGCTTGGCAAACACTCTACCAACTGAGCCATAACTTCAGCCCTGGTTTTCAGTTTATTATACATCCATACATTCATGCAACAAAATTAAATAAATAACTCAGTAATTTAGATGTGGAGCCAGGCATGGTGATTCACACCTGATAAATCTAGCACTTGGGAAGCTGAGGCAGGAGGTTTGAGAGTTTGAGCTCAGCCTGCTTTACCTATTCAACACAGAATACAGCAAAGGGGGTTGCTGTGGGATAACCCCTCTGCAGGCTGTGATTATGTTTTATTACCACTGGTTAATAAAGAAGCTGATTTGGCCAATAGCCAGGCAGAATAGAGTCAGGTGGGAAATCCAAGCAGAGATAAGGGAGAAGGGTAGATTCAGGGAGATACCAGCATCTGCCCAAGGAGCAAGATGCCAGAGCACCACTGGTAAGCCATGGGCCGCGTGGCAATATACAGATTAATAGAAAAGGGTTAATTTAAATGTAAGAGCTAGCTAGTAATAAGCCTTCCAGTGATTATTTTAAGAATGGCTGCAGGACCAGGGAGGGCAATAAAGCCTCCGTTTACAGGGGGTCAGAAGACACTGCTCTTTAAACTGTGTCCACATGAGGTTCTTGGGGAGTGTATGTGCTTAACCTGTTTGCTTCAACTCTCTTCAACCTCCTTGGATCCCAAAGTCAGAAGCCCCGGACTCAATGTATAGTGCATACTTGTGTAAAAGAGTCCTTATGCCATGTATGATCATGTATGATAAATACATACAATGAAGAAACATTCTAAAAGGTGACTTTAACATTCCTCAGTAAGGAACTGTTTAGTAACTAATGCTCAATTGTGGCACATAATCTCAGCTCTACAGCCCCCAGCTCCCAACCAAGATAGGGTTTCTCTGTGTAACAGCCCTGGCTGTCCTGGAACTCACTCTGTAGAGTAGGCTGATCTTAAACTCACAGAGATCCGCCTGCCTCTACCTCCAAGTGCTAGAATTAAAGATGTGTGCCACTACCATCCAGCAGCTTCTTAGATCTTTTTAAAGGATGCTTCCTCTGGGCCCATCAATCCAAGTCACTCACAAAAGCAGTTGTTGCCCGCTCTGGATGTTAGAAAGTTTACCTTGTGCCTTAAATTCCTTGAATCGCCCCAGGTCATCCCGATACATGCGTCTGATTGTGGTGGCTGCCCTTTCCTGTATGTCAGGAATGAACTCTTGGAGCTGCTTCACTGCAGCGCCCAAATCCACATCCGATTCGTCAGAGTCTCTCCCATCTTCAGAAACATATCTTTTTGCGGAATTGCTGACTGATTCCAAATTGCTTTCTTCTTCAGGGGTGGATTCTAACCTAAGGGGGAGATCGGGTAACCAACCAACAGTCATCTCTTCAGCTAACACTTTTCCGGCTCTTCCTGAACGGCTCTCAGTCGAGGAGTAGTGAAGTTGGACTGCACTGTGGAGCCATTCAGTCCCTAACTGCCAAACGCTATGCGGCCTGATGACATTAGATGGGTACATGTGGGCAGAAATGTACATGCTACTTCTCACCCGTGGTTTTAGCTAGTAAAGCCCTCTTTTATCTCTACTGAGAATCAGATACTTCTCCCAGCCCTTCCAATGAGTTAAGTTAGAGAATACAGTGGCTCCTAGCTGCTTAATGCAGTGTTCAGGGTTTACCCAGCTGTGGCTGGCTGTTCCTGTGGCATAGGCTAGAGGCCTCATTTCTTCCTTAGGCTTTTTTTTTTTTGTTTTTTTGTTTTTTTTGGTTATTTGAGACAGGGTTTCTCTGTAGCTTTGGAGCCTGTCCTGGAACCAGCTCTTGTAGACCAGGCTGGCCTTGAACTCACAGAGATCCACCTGCCTCTGCCTCCTCTGGGATTAAAGGCATGCGCCACGAACCACCTGGCTCTTCCTCAGGTTTTTATGTATCCAGCCCAAATGCTTTCGCCTGTTGTCAGAACTGTCTGCTCTTAGTATGTTCAGGCATCAGTGAGTCTGTCGGACTAAAAACTAAACCATCTTGTCCACCTGTTAGCAAGTTAGTGATTTTCATATGGCCTGTGGCTCAAGGAAAGCTAGCATATTCCTGCCTCATAACCAATGTTCTGACAATGTCCCCAGTAGACAATACAAGGACAATGTGAATGATCCACACCTGTTATCACTGCTATCCCATGTGGCATTTAACAGCACTCCATTTAACACTCATGTGAAACTATTCTATGTCAGACTCTATTTTCCCTAATGCTGAAACAAACACAAAAACTTACAGAGTGAAAGTGAGAAGATCTGTCCCAACCTAGGATCTAAGAGTGGGAAAGCCTCCCTCCATCAGCTCATTAAACAGTATACTCGCATAGCATCAGATAAGTAACGCTACCTTCATTCCTTGCGAGATTTCCAATTTGGCTGCTTTGCACAATCCTCAGTATAATATATATAACCCTTACAACCATACACACCCCCAGACAAGCTACATGGCTGGGAAGTCTTAAAATGACTCAATCTTATAGCAGTAGGTAAAAGACAGCTCTGTGAAAATCTAATTTAACTACCTTCTTTTATACATGAAGAGATTCAGCTCTCTGCTGAGATGGCTCAATTATATGTGCACACTATGATTTCTGTCATTTCCTAGGCTCACAGAAGACACGCCCCATTCCCAGCTTACCCCTGCATCTCTTCTGCATGCTTCTCGCTGGAACAAGCCTGGGTTTCTGCCTCCCTTGGTCTGTGGTCCACATCCTCTTCACTCAAAGCATTGCCGCCGCCATCCAGTGAATCCACGAGAGCATTCTCAACATTGTTGTCAAGCAGTGAGACATTGTCACTAGAGGTGGCAATAGGAACAGATGCACACTTCCTTTTCTTAGACTTTTTCCTGATACTGTGGGATCCTTTGATCCTCTCACCTCCTTCTCCAGTCCCAACCTCTCTTCCAGGGTGTGTGCTACCAACACTCTCAGGCACGACCCCCAATTCCTGGTTCGTGAACACTTTTTTCTTAGATTTCTTTTTACAAGACACTGCTAGTTCTGTGTTTTTGCCTTCCAGATCCACAGAAGACATGGATTCTGAGTGGGGCAAGATGATGTTCTCATGCTGGCTTTCCTGTACAGCATCCCAGGATGCAACTTTCTTCGGATGCTTTTGATTCTTTTTGCTCCTAACATCAGTGTGCGGCTCTTGACAGTCATGTTTGTGGGACTCGGCAACAGACAGCTCCTCTGCTTTGTCCACTTCTGCTGACTTTTGTCCCTTGCTCACATCTACATAAACAATATCCACATCTTTTCTAGAACTCTCCAGCAGGTTCTCTATGTTTTCTTTATTTACAAGGATGATCCCTGTTTCCACATCCACCTCCCAAACACTACTTCTCTTTTTTTTATGGGTAGAAATGGTCTTTTTGGCTTTATGGAAGGTTTCTGAATTTTTCAGAAGGGAAGAAGTAAGTTGTTGGAACTCCCTCCCCTTCTTCCTCTTGGCTATGTGAGGACGCTCACTCTCCAGGCTCTCAGGGGCTGGTGTCTGGGACTCCCTCCTTCTTTTCCTCTTGGCTATGTGAGGACGCTCACTCTCCAAGCCCTCAGGGGCTGGTGTGTGGGACTTCTTCCTCTTCCCTGGCTTGGACACCCGAGGATGCTCACTCTCCAGGCTCTCAGGGGCTGGTGTCTGGGACTTCTTCCTCTTCCCCGGCTTGGACACCTGAGGATGCTCACTTTCTAAGCTCTCAGGGGCTGGAGTCTGGGACTCCTTCTTCCTCTTCCCCGGCTTGGACACCCGAGGATGTTCACTCTCTAAGCTTTCAGGGGCTGGTGTCTGGGACTCCTTCCTTTTCCCCAGCTTGGATACCTGAGGATGTTCACTCTCCAAGCTCTCAGGAGCTGGAGCCTGGGACTCCTTTCTCCTCTTCCCCGGCTTGGACACCCGAGGATGTTCAGTCTCCAAGCTCTCAGGGGCTGGAGTCTGGGACTCCTTTCTCCTCCTCCCCGGCTTGGACACCCGAGGATGCTCACTCTCCAAGCTCTCAGGGGCTGGAGTCTGGGACTCCTTCCTTTTCCCCAGCTTGGGTACCCGAGGATGCTCACTTTCCAAGCTCTCAGGGACTGAAGTCTGGGACTCCTTCCTTTTCCCCAGCTTGGACACCCAAGGATGCTCACTCTGTAGGCTCTCAGGGGTTGGTGTCTGGGACTCCTTCTTCCTCTTCTTCCCTGGCTTGGACACCGGAGGATGCTCACTCTCCAGAGTCTCAGGGGCTGGTGTCCGGGACTCCTTCTTCCTCTTCTTCCCTGGCTTGGACACCAGAGGACGCTCACTCTCCAGGGTCTCAGGGGTTCTTATCTGGGGTCTTTCCTCAGACACAGAAGACCGTTTTTTTTTCTTGTAAAAAACTGCAGTGTGGATTTTAAATCTGCTTGAGTCTTCTTCCATTCTATTAGGAAAACATGACAATGGTTTATTTTGGCCTTTTAAACATAAGTCTGGGGGCAGGAGTGACAGCACAGTCAAATGAAACTGTATGACAAATGACAAGTCTACAGTCATGGGTATAAATTTTGTATTATTCAAAATATGGGAAGCTCACTGTGATCCACATTGCCTGGCCCCACTGCCTTTACGATACATTTACTCTCTCTCTCTCACACACACACACACACACCTCCCAATTCACAGGAAATAACACTGTCCTACACATTCTGGACCACATGCTACTCAGACTCATCTTCTGTGATATGTACTTGCTGCGGTTCTCCCAACATGCCTAAGTCCTTCCCTGCCTCTCACTGGGATCTCTGCTGCCTCCCACTCTCCTGGCTGCTGTTGCTGCTCCCTTGCCTGCCTGTGAACTTGGCTAGAAGACTGATTTGCTTTACTCTGAGACAAAGTCTTGCTATGTTGCCCAGGTTGGCCCCCAACACTTGCTGCCACATTTCAGTCTCTTCAGTCCTAGGACTACAGGCATCACTGTAACACCAGCTGGAAGCTGACTTCTTTAAGAGATCCTCCTCTTACATCAAGTTGGTTCTGACCAGGAAGCCTCCTCTCTACTGCCTAGCTCTCATAGTACCAGAGATACTATGTGGTTGCTGGGTGGAAAATCATCTCAACCTTACCCACTGGGAGCCCTGTGCCTACAATGGCAATAGCAAGTTGAGCCTATGGGTGCAACAGTGGCATGCATGTTTTAGGGTAGCAAATTGCTTTCTAAGTGCTTTTAAGGCCTGATCCAACATGTGGGGTACTGCAAATCTGTCAAGAAGTCCATGGTTAGTTAGAGAACTCACAGGTCCCAGGGTGAATCTATTTTTTTTTCTTTCAGCTTTTCTGTGTAGCCCTGGCTATCCTGGAACTCAAAGAGATCCGCCTGCTTCTACCTCCTTAGTACTGGAATTAAAGGTGTGCACTACCACTGCCTGGCATCGGATCTATCACTATTATTCTGCTAAATAGACATAGCATCAAACTACCTCTACCTTTGTCCCTCTCTACCTATAGATTAATGCATCTCTCAGACCTCATCAGAGAGGTGGTTTCTTTTTTTTCTGGTGCTGTGGACAGCAGTTAATGCAGACACTCACAACTGGTCAAAGTACAGAGAATACAGCCAGGTAGTTGTGGTGCACACCTTTGATGCCAGCACTTGGGAGGCAGTGACAGGTGGATCTAGGTCAGGACAGCCTAGTCTACAGAGTAAGTTTCAGGTCATTCAGAGCTACACAGAGAAACCCTGTCTCTGAGCTGGAGAGATGGCTCAGTGGTTAAGAGCACTGAGTTCAATTCCCAGCAACCACATGGTGGCTCACAACCACCTATAATGAGACCTGGTGCCCACTTTTGGCCTACAGGCAGTATACTGTTTTTTGTTTTTGTTTTTGTTTTTTTAAAGAAACCCTGTCTCAAAAAACAAAACAAAGCAACCAACAGAAAGTACAGAGTAATGAGTAATGAGACACCTGCGTGCCTTGCTCGCCCTCCAAGACTTAGGAACCAGATCCTGAGAGCCTAGACTGGGAGAACTGGAGCAGAGCAGCGTCTTCCAGATGGGACAGAACCTCTGGCATTTGTAACTCATAATTCATAGCAGCTGTGTGTAGTTGCCTACACACGATCAAACCAGGCAACATTCAAATGCTGAGGGGGAGGGGCTAATGAGCTCACTCTCCTGAGGTGACACAGATTTCTGGGGAAGGGAGAGGCAGTTTTCTCTTAGGGTGTGTGGTCCCTAGTACTGATATGGCTCCAGAGGATGGCCCTACACCCAGAGTATAAGGCAGCCATAAACTTGACTGGATGGGTTATTTTTAAAAAGAAAACAAAGAGTACTTGAAATGGGGGAGGGGGCAAAAAGTGGGTAAGGAGTAATTATGATCAAACTGAATTTCTTAAAGAATTACAAAATTCTCAAAGAAGTATTATATTTAAGGCCAGGAGGCGGTAGTACACACTTAATCCCAGCACTCAGGAGACAGCAGCAGGTGGATTTCTGTGAGTTCAAGGTCAGCCTGGTTTATAGTGTAAGGATAGTCAGGGCCACACAGAAAAACCTGGCCTTGAAAACAAAACAAACAAGCAAAGCTGTGCAGTGGTGGCGCACGCCTTTAATCCCAGCACTTGGGAAGCGGAGGCAGGCAGATCTCTGTGAGTTCAAGGTCAGCCTGGTCTACAAGAGCTAGTTCTAGGAAAGCTAGGGCTGTTACACTGAGAAACCCTATCTCGAAGCAAAAATAAAATAAAATAAAATAAAAACATAAAAATAAAAAAGAAGAGCACTGGCTTCTCTTCTAGAGGATCCAGGTTCAATTCCCAGCACCCACATGACAGTTCACAAGTGTCTTTAACTCCAGTTCCAGGGGAGGATCTGACACCCTTATCAATGCACATAAAATAAAGTTAAAATAAATTTTAAAAAAAGCAAAAAAAATTACATGCAAACATATTCTTCGCCTTCTGAATTGCTTCTGGGTTCAAATATTTAGAATTTATCTTTGATGACTAGCTTACTCGATCTATTTTGAGACAGGGTCTCTCTCCATGGCCTTGACTGTCCTGAACTCACTCTGTAACCCAGGTACTATGTGCTCTTATTTCTTCCCATTGTCTTCACTCTGACCTGTAGCTTGATTTTATTAGCAGACTCTGGATTTCTCTCTCCATAAAGGGTGTGTCACCCCCACCCCCTATTCCAAAGACAGTGTTTCTCTGTGTAGCCCTGGCTGTCCTGGAACTCCGTTCTGTTCTGTAGACCAAGTTGCCCTTGAACTCACAGAGACCGAGACCCTCTTTCCTCTGCCTCCCAAGTGCTGGGATTAAAAGCGTGTGCCTCCACTGCTGGCTGGCCACAACAGGGGTTTTAACCAACCTGGATGCTAGGCACACATTCATCCTGGGTAGTAAATGGCAGTTGTAAGGACCGGCCGGGTTTTGGAGGGAAAGGGCCATGAAAGAACAGTTGAATTCTCACCTGCAAGGCAGGTCCTTCAGGTCCATGTGGGCGTGAGAACTGTTTAGACCTTCCTCCCCATGTCACTCACTGGGTGTGTGTGTATGGGGGGGAATGCCACCTAGAGATGCAGAGTACCCTTTCAAGGTCTCGCTGACACACAGTAGGAACGCACAAATGCTACCAAGGGTCTAGCAGACAGGCTTACAGAATTACTGTAGCCTCAGCATGTTGCGTATTGTCAAGTTCTGCACAGTAATTTTTATTTTTTGGCCATGTGCTAATGCCTCCTCTTTGACTGCCCTAGTGCTACTTGAGATGGAGGAAACAGGCTATGTTCTAATCACAGGCCGCCAGTCTGCAGCTGGGACCTGACCACTATCCAGAATCAATTCCAGATCTAGGCTGTACCCTATGATAGCGACCAGCCACATGAGCATCTGCAATGGGGTAGGGCCAAACTGTAAAACTGAAAGAGATGTGGTAAGCAAACACTAATCACTGAGCAACATCGCCTGTGCTCCCTTGGTTCCTACCCTGTCAGGAGTCATCTTTAGCAGCCAGTTTCCCTATTTCACTTCACATCCATTTTGTTACAGCACGTTTAGTTACTGTTTGTTTGGTTTTTGCGACTGTAGAGCTCTTTCTTGGCCCCAGATAAATTTCTGCCATGGGCTGAGGCCCCTCCAATAACAATTACTGCCACCCTTCTTGAACTTTGCTTTTTAGAGAGAGAGGAGAGATTATATTTTGTGTGTATGAGTGTCTGCTGGGTGCTCGTGGGAACAAGGGGATGGGGTGTAGCGCCCACAACCCATGGTGGAGGGAAAGAGTTGACTAAATGAAAAACACACATATGATGTGTGTAAAAAGCACATGCGGCAGGCGGATGCCTGAAGGCAGAGCCAACTGTTGTAGGCCGAGTAAGTGGTCTTGGGAACTGGCTATGACCCACGATGTAGATCTTAATGCTCGGCGACCGGCCTCAGTGTGCAGGCCATTTTATCAAGGTGCCTTCACTCACTCCTAGCCGGGTGCCACATTCCCTACCGCACATAGACTTCCCCAACGGTCGGGCACCTTCCCGAGGCGTACTGTCCACAGCCGAGACGTGCTCCGTCTCATCTAACCAGCAGAAATGGACCTACTTCCACTTCCGGCCCTACACGCCCTACCCTCACCACCAGTGGACTGAGACTGACCCTGCTCTGGCCCGGGGCGGCGAACCGAGGAACAGACTGGAAAGATACCGCAGGCCGCGGCCTGGGTCTCGGGGCATCCCCCGGAGGCGAGGACCGGGCAGATCGGCCTCCGGCCGCCGACTCGCACAAGACTAGCGCCGCCACCCGCCACACTCGCGAACCAGAAGCTCTAACAACGAAAGGTTGTCCAACCTACCCCGTGATACTGTAGCCCCTCGTCTTCCAACCCGGAAGTATTGTGGAGACGGAAGTACTGTACTGACTTCCGGCCCGCTCCGCATCCGGCTGCCATAGTAACATGGCGGCGCGCAAGGATTGAACGCATGCGTAGTTGCTTGCCTATAGTCCTGATTTAGGGAAAAGAGTTAAAGCGTGTCCCACTAATTAAGCAGGCCAGAAGCAAAGGCCGGTATATGTGAGTTCGAAGCAAGCCTGATCTATATAGCGAGTTTGAGACCAGAGTATGTAGTGAGACCCTGTCTCAAAAAACGAACAGCAATAACAAAACCAACAAAACAAAAACCCCGAAAAACAGCAAATTGTAGGGGGAAAGTCACAAAATTTAGGAGAAAAATAAATATAAAAAACTCAAAAAACCAAAAAAAATTAATAAAATAAAATAAAATAAAAAGCTGGGCTCCAAGCAGTGGTGGCGTGTGCCTTTAATCCCGGCATTTGAGAGGCAGAAACAGGCCTATCTCTGTGAGTTCAAGGCCAGCCTGGTCTACCGGAGAGAGTTCCAGGAATGCTCCAAAGCTACAGAGAAAACCTGTCTTGAACAACCATTAATAATAATAATAATAATAATAATAATAATAATAATAAAAAATTCGGCCACTGGTGACACATGCTTTTAATCCTAAGCACTCAGGAGGCAGAGGAGACAGGTTTATTTATGGCCAGCCTTGTCTACAGACCTACAGAATTAATTCTAGGATAGCTAAGATTACACAAAGAAACCTTATCTTAAAATACAAAAAGCAAAAAGAAAAGAAAATCAAATCTTTAATTGAGCCATCAAATCAGGGCTATCATCTCTATCAACTTTTTGTGTGGCTAACAAAACGTGGAAAGTCTTCTCTGTTTTTGTTTGTCAGTTTGAGATGGTCTCCTGTAGTCCAGAGTATCTTCAAACTCACTGTGTATTCTCTGTGTAGCTGATGCTGACCTTGAATTTTTCATTTCCCTACCTCCACCTACAGTGCTGGAGTAACAAGCATGTACCAGCATACCAGGTTTGTTGTAGTGCTGATCTCAAGGCTGTGTGTGTGTGTGCTAAAGAAACACCTTACCAACTGAGATAAATACCAGCCTAAAAGCTGTAGGTTTTCTCAGTTATTCTCTCTCTCCCTCCCTCCCTCCCTCCCTCCCTCCCTCCCTCCCTCCCTCCCTCCCTCCCCCTCTCTCTGTCTCTCTCTCTGTCTCTCTCTCTCTCTTGTTTTGTTGAAACAGGGTTTCTCTGTATAAATAGCTCTGGCTGGTCTTGAACTCGCAGAGATCTGCCTGCCTCTGCCTCCTGGAGTGCTGGTATTAAAGGTGTGCGCCGCCTCCACCAGTTTCTGTCCCACCAGGTCCCACATCTGTTTAGTCCCCAATAAACACAAAAAGGCCTACATTAATTATAAACTGATTGGCCCAGTAGCTCAGGCTTCTTATTAACTCTTATAACTTGTATTAGCCCATAATTCTTGTCTGCGTTAGCCACATAGTTTGGTACTTTTTGGGTGAGGCAGTCACATCTTGCTTGCCTGTGTCTGGTTTCCTTTTCATCTGGGTGACTGCAGACTGAAACTTCCCTCTTACCAGAATTCCCAGAATTCTCATTGCCCCACCTCTACTTCTTGCCTGGTCACCCCGCCTGTACTTCCTGCCTGGCTACTGGCCAATCAGCATTTATTTAAAATACAAGTGACAGGGTACAGACCATTGTCCCACAGCACACCACCACCTGACTCTCATTTACTCATAAACAACCCCATGTTGTAGGTATCATTATTAGGCAATACAGCATCAGTCCCATCCTGTAATGAGAAAACTGAGGCTTTTGGTGACTTGACAAGATCGGGCCCAGGGTTCCAACCCATGCTTTCCCCCTCTACTTTGCTCTTCTGCCTTTCTCCAAATTGCTGTGACTTCCTCTGTGTGAGCGTCTAAGAACCTTTGATGAAAAGGGGCCAGGGAGATGGTTTAGTGGTTAAGAGCACTTACTGCTTTTCCAGAAAACACAAGTTCATTTCCCAGTACCTGCTTGGTGGCTTACAGCTGTCCGTAACTCCAGTTCCAGAGAACTCAACACCCTCTTCTGACCTCCTTAGGCACTATGTGTGCACATGGTGCACACACATACGACATGCAGGCAAACTATTCATACACATTAAAAAAATAAATCTTAGCCAGGTGGTGGTAGCACATGCCTATAAACCCAGCTCTCGGGAGGCGGAGGAAGGTGAATCCCTGTGAGTTTGAGGCCAGCCTGGTCTACAAGAGCTATTTCCAGGACAGGCACCAAAGCTACACAGAAACCTTGTCTCAACCCCCCCAATAAATAAAAGTAAAAATAAAAATAAATCTTTAAAAAGTGTACAATCTACCAGGTGTAGTAACAAATGCTTGCAATCCCAGCACTTGTAAGACTGAGGCAGGAGGATGATAGGTTTGGGTTACACAGTGAAGCAGTCTGGATAAATTGTAAATACATACACCATGTCTTTGTCAAACCTTGCCTAAGTATCTGGATGTCTGTGTTTTCTGCTCTAAAGCCTTGAAGTTCAGATTGGTTGCCAGTGCATCTTGCTCCATGGTGAACTCAGGGCCTTGTGAAAGTGGATATTTTCATATTTTCACTTTTAATGAAGATACTGAGGGTAGACCAATGAACTCACAAAAGACTCATACTGGCAGGGAGCTTAGATTTCAGGTCCCAAATCACCCAGGAAGCTGGAGAGATGGCCCAGAGGTTAAGAGCATTGGCTGCTCTTCCAGAGGACCCAATTTTAATTCTCAGCACCCAATGACAACTTACCACTTTCCAAAACTCCAGTTTCCGGGTATCTGATGCCCCCTTCTTGCCTCTGTGTGTACTGCATGTATGTGGTGCACAGGCATTCATGTAGGCAAAATGCCCATACACATAAAGTATTTTTAAAAAAGAATCCCTACCTTTGCATATGGACTATATATTAGACACCATTAATGTACCACATTAAAATCCATGGACACGGAGCTGGAGAGGTGGCTTATTGTTTAAGCACACTTGTTGCCCTTGCTGAGAACCTAGCACCCATATGGTAGTTCATAAGCATTCATAACTCCAGTTCCAGGGCATCCAACAACCTCTTCTGACTTCTGCAGGCATCAAGCATGGAGAGGTGTACAAACACATATGCAGGCAAAACACTCATACACATAAATACATTTTAAAAACTGTTTTTATAAAGGAGTTATGGATATGCTAAACATCATTGCAAATGCCTTTAATTTCAACAACCAGGCACCAGAGGCAAGTGGAGTTCCAGGCCAGGCTGGCCTACACTGTGAGTTCCAGGTCAGCCAGGGCTACATAGTAATTCCATCTGTATTAATCAGTATTCTCTAGAGTCATAGAACTTAGTCTCTCTCTCTCTCTCTCTCTCTCTCTCTCTCTCTCTCTCTCTCCCGTGTGTGTGTCCATATATATGTAGAGGAATTTGTTGTGATGACTTACAGGCTGCAGTCCAACAATGGCTAGTTGTGAATGAGAAGTCCAAGAATCTAGTAGGTGCTCAACCCCATGAGATTGGGTGGCTCGGCTGATCTCCTGTCTATGCTGGAATCCTGAAGTAGGCTCCAATGCCAGTGAAGGAATGGATGTATTGACAAGGTGAGGGCAAGCAGGAGAACAAACCCTTCCTTCTTCCACTGTCTTTACACAGGCTTCCAACAGGTGTGGCCCAGATTAAAGGTGCGTGTCTTCACACCTCAAGGTATGGATTAAAGGCCTGTGTCTTCTTGTCTCAAGATCCAGATCACAAGTGTGCCCTCCACTTCTAGATTGTAGTTGACAACCAAGAACAGCCATCACATCCTCTCATTATCAGTAGACATGATAAGGACAGAGTCATGTATGAAATTACCCTTGACAATTAATGGTTCTTGGGGGATGCTCTATGCCTTACTGTACAGACACAGGTAATGGTTCTTAACCAAATCCACCTGTGCTCAGGCAAGCAATCTTAATTAAATTCAGTGGGGGCACAAACTAAGATATGAAAGTAGAAGAGGGTTTTGTTGGAAAAAAGAGGGGGTTCAGCAAACGGAGAGAGGGACCAGAGTATAATAGGATCAAAGTGTATTATATGTACATATGAAAATGAAATAAGTCTTCAAAAATACCTCCCAAAGAAAATGCCCTTGATACAGGATGAAGTTTTTAGCGTCTGCAATGGTTTGAATGAGAATAGCTACATCTATATGAACACTTGGTATCCAGTTGGTGGCACTGTTTGGGGAGGTCTAGGAGGTGTGGCCTTAGTGGAGGAGTATGTCTCTGGGGTTTCAAAGCCTCCTGCCATTCCCAGTGTATTCTCGCCCTCTCTTCCTCTTCCTCTCTCCTTCTCCCCTTCTCCCTTTCTCTCCCTCTCCCCCTCTCCTTCTCCGTTTCTCTCTCTCTCTTTCTCCCCCTCTGTCTCCCTCTCTCCCTTTCTCCCTCTCTCTCTCCTTCTCTCTCCCTCTCTCCCCTCCCACCCCCACCTTTCCTGCATGATTGGGGTTCAGTTGAGATCTCAGCAACTTCTTCCAGTCCCCATGCTAACCTGCCACAATGGGTCCTTATCCCTTTAGAACCATAAGCACAAATAAACTCTTCCTTCTGTAAGTCCCTCCTTGTCATGGTGTTTTATCACACCAGCAGAACAGGAACTAATACACAATATAGCACTGTTTGAGGTAGTTTCAAGCACCTCAGCAGTGTGTGTGCGCACTT